GTGGATATGGCGTACGAAGAAGGCACAGCGCTTGGGAGTAGAAAAGAGCCCATTCGGCATTTTAGAAGTGCCTACGGACCGCAGGATCTCCTTCCTATCCAAAAGAAGACGACAGCAGCGCYTGGAAGACATACGGGACGATTTGGAAGGCGACGAGTGGGTAGAAGCCACGAAAAGATACCACGCAGAACTGTCGGAACAAAAGCAGAACATCCTGCGGCAAAAAGAAGCAGACAGGCAAAAGATAGAAGAAGAGTTGGAAAAGCACAAAAAGCTGTTGGATAGGACTCGCCGGCGCAGCCGCAAGCTGTGCGAGCTGCTGTACGAAACACATACGAAGGTACACCGCATGCAAGAAATTCCCCCGGGCGACTACAAAATACTAGGATACGCAGAACCAAGGAACAAAGACCCCGATTGGCCCTGCAAAGGGCACCGCGTAGTCCTACGCAGCGGCAAGGAAGCGTCGGTGGCTTGGGCTACRGCTGCAATGTTGGATGCATTCGCGGCAGGAAAGTTCGAAAGCAGCGGCTACGTGCACACCGCCATACCTGGGGAAGAAGTACTGTTGGAGTGGCAGAACAACGCAGCTACGATATTCGTACCGGAAGGCCCCGGCTTGGACACCTACCACGAATTGGCGGCAAAGATAGACTATGCAATACCCAAAAATCCATCCAGACTACTGGAAGTTCCAGCGCCGCCAAACAAAGAATGCGTGCAGGCGCTACGCATGCAGCCGGGCGAATACCAATGTTGGCGCTATGCAAAAACCACATACAGGGGCAAAGAAAGGACCATTCTGTTCCTGTCCAGCCGATGYTCCGAGTGCGYATTGGAGGGCTGCACGGTGGAACATGCAACCACACCCATCTGGGGACACTTCTTGGAGGCGCAAAAAATAGACTGGGCGCATATTTCGCCGCCTTTGTACTGCAAAATAGGCAGGGAAAAGACCACCGCCAACAAAAGGAAGGATAGATTGGTGCACGTGTCCACCTAGGACATTGCATAGATCTTTTTGGACCACAGCGGCCTTCCAAAGTAGGTCTTCGTATTTCGTGTTGTTTTGTTGTGGGATTGCTAACAAGCAACAAGAAATATGAAAACCTTTTTTTGGACACTTTGCAAAGATAGGAATGTATTTTGGAACTCTTTGCACTACTCCATCTCCGGAATTCGAGAGCTTGGTTTTTTTGGTGGCTCCCTAGGCTTTGGCGGCTCTGGAATATATTTGTACACGACTTTGGGTTCTTGTCTGGCGGCCCAAACAAGCGCTCCAATACCCAAAACGGCGAACAGCACATTTCCAGCTATCTGCCAGTCTATCTTTGTGGATACTTCGTCCACTTCCTTCTCTATTTCTTCCACCTCGCTGTTGTATTYGTCGCAGCCCACCGCATCCATAGCGGCTTGCAACTCTTGGCGAAGTTTCCCTAGATCGCCTAGCAATTCTTCTTTCGTTTTCTGTAGGTCGTCGAGGACAATAGCAAA